GAATTAAATTCGTTAAAACGAATGTTACAATTCGTTTTATCGAATTCATATGTATTTTTCGAATTCAAAAGATTGTTATAACGAATTAAATTCGTTATAACAAATTCGACAATTCGCAATATTGAATTCAAATATATTTTTGATAGGTCCTAATTGAGCTTCCGTAAATCACTGTTTTCAAAGTATCTAAAGAATAAATATTAATCAAAGATTTTAATTTCAGCAATTCAAGTGATTTCCGAAAGGAATTATATATAGGATGTATTTCCTCTGGAAAAATGCACAAATGCCCAGTAAAGTACTTCCTGAATTTATTATAGAGGACACTTTTTATAGTGTTTTTTGGAGACAAGGTCTTCCAACAATCTGTTGGAATTTCCATGGGTACCAAATTTTCGCCCAATTATTAGCATCCCTATTTTTGTATTCATATGAAGCAGAATTTATTCGAAATTATATATCAGAGGAAGAAAACACTTGCTGTGGCCTTCAACTCGACATTTAGATATATCGACGATGTATTATCAATTAACAATAGTGATTTTCATTCATATGTTGACACAATATATCCCAGTGAGCTTGAAAAAAGATACCGTTGAATCTGACACATCCTTTTTCCTATTTGGATATTTTACTAGAAAAAGACTTAAATGTTAATATAACAACCAAGCTTTATGATAAACGTGATGACTTTAACTTTTCAATCGTCAATTTCCAATATTTATGCAGCAATATACCATTATCACCTATTGATTCTATACGCAATAGCATGCTCTATATATGAACAATTTCTAAAACGAGGTAAGCAATTGACAAACAAATTGATAAAACAAGAATATCAACAGAGACTGCTCGAAATCTTATACAAGTCTTATACAAGTGTTAAAAGTCATCATTCTATGGGCGATACAATGATCTTGTCAGCAAATACAGTCTATCATTAAGTCAAATGCTGACTGACATTTTCATAATAATAGTAAGGCCATTATCTACATACTGAATTGTCTACGGACTTTTCCGTTATTTCCCGATCAAGGAGCACACGGCAGGTGTGACTGGTCAGCAGGGGATGCTCACTCCTCAATGGCACCTAATCCCACCTCTGGTGTTTTATAGGTCCGTGTTCGCTCTGCTCCTTTGTATTGTTCAAATGGACTTTTGGGCTTGAATCCTGTTCGTTATCTCCATATATTTCATAGTAGCAATATTTCATATACACTGTATTTCATAGTAGCAATATTTCAATCATGAATTCCTTGGAAAAATTATATACTATTGAGGAACGTGTTGTCTAACCTTAATGCATTTTTTCAAGGAATAGCAATAAAAACACCTAATATGCATTTGAGTTCAAAATACTAACACACAGTTGACTTAAGTTACCCAAAACACCTCATACACCCTGCAGTTAGAGTTCCTCTGCTTTTACAGTTGGTGTAGCATCATGCAAAATTTTCTCTAAAATGTTTTTGTCACCTTTATGTCACGTACAGATTTCCCGTGTTCTCTGAAAGAAACGTATCGACTAGACAAAAAAATGCACTACTGGGATATATCCCCTAATTACCGTTACCTTTTCAAATGACTTTGAGTGAGTTCTACCTTTTCTATAAAGGTCAGTCCTCCATCATTTCTTTATTACTAGCGTACGGTATTAAAAACAATATTTTACCCGCAATGCCAATGACCTTATTGAATTCATGGACGATATTGAGTTAGACATTGACTCCCGTCATACGCGCCATCAGATCTGTATCAAATCATGAAGACCACCTATGATATCTTTATGTTCATATAACTTACTATTTCATGTAGTTCTTAACGATGATTTGGCGATCGACCATCTAGTTAATATTGTATTTACCAAACATTTATCTCCGTATCTCTTTTCTTGCGTCTATGTAGTTATTTCTCTGAGGACAGGTCTACGAGCATTTTATATTAGCCAAGGAAAGTTTTATGAAGCAGAATTTATTCAAAAACCTCTACACGAGAAGAAAACTCCTGCTTTGGCTTTCGATTTGTCGCTTAAAATATCACAATGACGTTTTATTTTATTCATTTTTATATTGACACGTTATATCCCAGTGAAAACTCGAAATAAAGACACAACAGATAAATACATTTTATATCTGGATGTTTTTAATACTAGAGGGAGACGTCTGTCACATTTGGTGCTTTTTTGAATGTTGAACTGACTTTATTCGTTAATGACGAACTATAAGAACTGATTTTTATGACAAATAGGATAAGTTGAGCTTTTCAATCGTTATTCTCCCCTAGTATATAGTAATATTCCATTATCACCTGCATATGGTGTTTATGTTTCTGAACTCTTTACACAAGACATATTTTGAGTACAATCAAGATAGGCTATAGACAAGTAAGTTGTCGTTACAGGACTTTAACAATCAAGATTTAAGTAAGTATTTCTCAAATACTATGTTCGTTATAATAACCTACCGTTGGGTCGTATTTTGACTGACGTTTTTCATATACGAATCGTTAAGTCGTTGTTTTTATTCTTATTTTGACTATATACGGATTATTTCGTTTACCTGATCCACACAGAGGCTCAAGTGGGTTTAATCAGTCGACAGGGATGTCTACTCTAGACACCTGATCCCACCTGTGCTGTTTCTTGAGGTGTGTGATTTTCCCCCTGTTTTCACTATTCGAAAAGTTTACAAGATTCTGATCACTGTTCGTCTTCACTTTTTTTCATCCTAAATATTTCCTTTAAATTGGAATATTCTCACTTTGGAACAAAATGGACCCTGAACCCACTGAAAGATTTGTCAATGAACAATTAATAAAAGAAATGAACAATGCTAGTAGTTAATTTAAATTTAATTGAACATTTGTATATACTTTATGTTTTATATGGGTACAGTGTTATTATGTAACTTTTAGGGGGTTAAACCCGCTAACTTAGATATCGATTATGTCGTTATCAGCATCTGACGTTTTTACGACATTAAAACAAGTTTTGTCCAAATAAAAGACAACTGTTTGATGAATTGAAGTCAGTCGACAGCGGGGGGAAGGGGGGGGGGCTTAGTATACTTCGGATATAAGACAGAGGTATTTACTAACAGTACCCAGTCTATATATACGTATGACCATTAGTGGAAGAGTCAATCACTACCAAGTTAATAGAAACGTCCTGGATTTACCAAAGACTCTTCACCCTAAATTTTATTAACCGAATAACGTGGTACCAACCATCCACCATTTTACCATTTGTATGTGTTTATAATTGGACCATTAGATCTTCTCAATAAATGTAATAAACTTTACATAGAGCGTTATTCATAACTATGCCGATACAGATATTATTGGCCCCAAAATTGGTTATTTCGTCATTTTTTGAAATGGCCTATAAATTGGTCATATTATTCATCTAAAGTAGGCCAAAAATTGGCCGTTATTCATTACATAAAATGTGGTCAACATAACCATATAAACATACCAGTGACTAGAGTACCAACAGCGACCCTTGATAAATTACCCGTGCCCTCGGTTTCGTTACATAAACTTTATCTCATCGAAACTTTCCTCCTATAATTTCCTTAACTTTTGGATTAATTTTCAAAGCCATTTGGTGAAGGTGTAAATGTAAAATATAAAGATAACAAACAGTAATCCTTCTCTTAAATCCAAATGAATCGTAAACAGGGCAAAACACCAGAGATGGGATCAGGTGCCTAGGAGGAGTAAGCATCCCCTGTTGACCGGTCTCAGCCGCCGTGAGCGTTATGCCTAGATCTGGTATATGGAGTTCTCTGTAGTCAAAATTAGTATAAAAGCAATGACCTAACAAATGTGATCAATCATTTCAGACAAAATACGACCCAATGAAGGCAATGATAAGTTGTATTTGCAAACCAGGCCATTATAACAGTAAAATATGCGAAAAGCTGATTTTAAACAGGGTTTTTGAAATCCTTGTATGCAAAAGAAAGTGATAAATATTTCACAAACTTTTACCTGTGTAAAGGACGATGCAATACATCAAACTATTCTAAACGTCATCGACAAAAGGAAGCCAATGGACGGTTGCTAAGAAGGAGACATCTTTTTTGTCAAACATGTAGGCAAAAATCTAATTGAAATCTCGCTTTACTTTAAAGCTATTTTAGAATTGGCATGCGATATATTGATCAACTTCAGTAAGAATAATGAAAAGGATGAAGATAATGTACAGTGATCGATCTCAAAAAAATCTTCAAACAACACAAATCTGTAAACATGGCATAAAACACGAACCCTCGGAAATTCCAGAGATGGGTCCAGGTGCCTAGGAGAAGTAAGCATCCCCTGTTGTCTGGTCACTCCCGTCGTGAGCCCAATGTATTGAATAACTGAGCTAACAAAAGAGAACTAGTCTTGAATTTTCTGATGTCGTTCTAAGATTATAGATGTTTGGCATTCCTGAAATTCTTGGTCTTTTGTCTGTAACATAACGCCATGTCTTCTCAGTTCAAAAACTTATTTGCATTGACAATAAAAACGCTGAAGAAAAGAAATAATAGTTTATGTTGAGGAGAAATAAGTATATTCATAGTAAACTTTGAGTACCGTTTTACATAAATCTGTAAAAGCTATAGAATATTACATAGATAAAAAAATGATGGACCGATGATATGTTCAATACATTGTAGCAGAAGGCAAAATTAAGTCGACAGAGGATACGTTCCTCAATAATATATAATTTCCCCCAAGAATTTGTGATTGAAATATTGCTAGTTAACAAGTTTTCTCTTGTGCAAATTCCAGAGGATGTTATTTACTACATGATCAAATTAAAAATCACTTCAATTGCTAATACAATAAGGTTTGTTTAATATGTGTTTTAGACATTATAAAAACAGGTTAGGAATTAGAAGATAATAGTAATTATCAATCTTTCTGGTATATTACGAAGAAATACAAAAACTTTTTTTTTGAGGAACGTATCATAAGACCTAAAGTTAGAAATAAAATCTATCTGGAAAATCATCGATACTGCAAGTTTTATTCATACTGTAAATATTATGCAGAATATCAAATATAACATTTAAACATGATATCTGATGCAGATGTTCACCCAAATGTAATACAGAAATATAATAACAGGTAACAGAAACACATGTGACAACAAAATTATCACAAACACTGAATATCAAAATAAACTGAACATTCAGGTATTTAAATAATACTTTTTGGTATATATTTACAGCTGGATTCTTCAAATCTTCTACTATTTATAGAATGAACAACACGTTTTATGTTGAATTTAACGAGGTAAAACATGTACCCAATTCGAACAACAAATTTGTATAACATGTTTATTTGACTGTGTTCTTTTTAACAAGATTTAACATGTACCCATACGAGCAGCATGGAAATCATTTGCATTGGAAAATGCCACATTTTACGGGGTAAAAACTGTAAAATAATTCAGTAATCATATAAAAGGACCAAGACCAAGTGTGTGATAAGATACCTATGAATAAAAATTTTATTGCAAATTAAAAATAATTCCTCTGCCTATTTGACCAAAAAAACACCACTTCAAAAATCCTTTTAAAAAAAAGACATCTTCAAAAGCAAAACGTCTTTTCTTTAGTTATATGTTTTCCAACCTCAAAGACATTTGTGCCTGTCTGAAACCTTCCCTCTATAAATACTACTCAAAAAATATATATACTTCGCGAGATTCTATAAATAGTACCATTATAATATCAGTGTAAGGTTGATAGACAAAACAATTATTTGTCTAAATATTGTGGCAATGAAAACAAAATTACAACTATAAAAATATAAAACAATCCAGTAATTCTCACAGGTAAAAGAACACAAATAAATAATAAGATTCTGAATGTAAGAGTTACAAAAATATCCCAAATTATACACACTGCCAAAAATACCATTAACATGTTTGGCACTTATCACTTAAGAGATTCTGCTATTTTGTTCTTTACCACTTCACAACTTTAATTACTAATTATTATAATATATCTAGTATTAGCCAGGTAATATTCTGTTTCTAAGGTTTGCCTTCAATTCTTCATCAGACATATGCGCTCTTTCAACAAGGGCAAAAACTAAAATTCCTGTTAATAAAGCAAAGAGCCCGGCAAAGATAATAAGTCGCTCTACCCGTTTGGCCAAACTTATTGCTTTGTCTATGTTTCCTTGCATTATACCTTCATTCAGGGTGGACTGAAGTCTAAATGCAAAAATAACAGCCGGAATCCCGAGTGGAAAAAATAAAAATAACGCTACAATACTTAAAATTTTGAGCACTTTGATTCGGGTTTGAGTCAAGGGTTTTTGACGTTCTATATCCCTCCATCTTTCTGGAACATTTTGGCAACATGTCTGTTGAGTTTGAATTGTTTTTCCGTTAGAACCTCCGATTATGACCTGTTCTTCAACGACTTTAGAACCACCTGTTTCTGTGGTATATAGAACAGGAAGTGATGTCATTGTCAATGATGACGTATTGGAGGTAGCGTGTCCATTGCTTTGCAGGGAAGTGTCGATGTGGATGTCGTCCTGGGTGACCGGAAGAGTGGCGGGGGAACTGTCTGTTCCATCATCTATGTCTAGGCATGGATTGTCAAAACCTTCACTTTTTTCATTCTTTTCTGTCAATATTTTGGCTTTTCGATGGGCATCAAATTCAGACCCATCAAAGTTGTCGGAAAACCCATCCGAGTTAAATGCTGCCATCTCACTTAAAATGAAGAAAAAAATGTATTAACGTTCTCATTTAACAATTGGTTTATATTAATAGTTTTGAACAATTAAATGTTAAGTTATTGTATAAGTCGAAGAAAGATTACTCCGAGTCATGTTTAAAACTTCGTGTAAATATACGGAAGTACAGAAAAACACTTTATTCATAGTTTATAAACCTAAAAAATAAATTTATTTCACATACTAAAAAGTTTATTTGGTACATTTTCAAAAGTATCATAATCTATTTATTCAAATCACCGTAAACCAAACGGAAATTACTTGATAATGTTTTCATTCTGAAGTTCTTTCGTAATTTAATCTTCCACCTACTTGGTACTAGTTAGGATCCACCACTTGTACGAGACACAAGATAGTAATCATATTTAATGTGTTTGTTTACTATCGTTAATGTTAATGATCGTCCTTTATAAAGATGAAACTGATTGATTTTCAGTCTACCTGTTCTATTTGTCGATTGCGTAAACAAATCGTTTCTCCTCAGATATCACAGTCACACCTTATCAAATTTCTGTCGTGTTATTTCGTTGTTTACTTGGTCGCCATATTTGGTCTTCATTTACCTGTCCGATAGGTGGCGGTTAAAGGTATATTACGAAATCATAAAGCGAACAAGTCCTGTCTTAAGCTGGGATTATAACTGAAACATGAGTAATGCTTTATCTAGGACACAGCTACCGGACTGTCCTCTCCCAAATTTAGAACTGTTCGAATTAAATTTGTATATGAAAATTAACTGTCAAATATAAATTTTAAATTGAACAAAATAATTCTAAATTTGGGACAGGAGAGGGCTATAATTTCACAGTCAATATTTTAAATATAATCCACGACTCCCCTACAAGCATACACTATTTTTTTAAAAAAGTGCAATTTCAATTTTAAACAAGATTTAAATCAAATGTAATAAGAATTTCTTCACTTTAAAAACCATTCAAGTAAAATATTTAAAAAAAAAAAAAAAAAAAAAAAGAGAGGTAAAGTAAGCAGGCTATTCAAGTTTTATTTATTTATTTTTTTTAACTTAAAAAAAAGATTAAAAGGATACCTTTCACAACACAAAAAAGGATTAGGAGAAAAATGAAGAATAATATTCTTATATTCAATCGAAAGCAATTTTAATGAAGTAAGAAATCGGTACATACCCAAATATTATTAATCAAGACCAAATGTTCTAAAAGTCTATGACTTATTTAATATCATGACTTTGTCATTACTAAATGTATTAGTTATTATATTATAGAAGCCATAGAGAAACAAACCTCTCAGCTAAAGGTTTTATTATTATTTTTTTTTTATTTAGTTTAACTGAAAATGACTACTCAGTCACGCATTCTAGAAAAACATGCCCAATTAAGATTTTTTTATGTCGCTTAGAAATTTACCTTTATTATATCTTAACCAGGATAATTTTAAAGATCAATTTCAACTCTAAAACTTAAAATAGACACGTGATTTTGTAAATATTTCAGAAGCTGAAATAAGCGGTTTTCCAGAAGACGAATTATTCAATAATACACATATCATGCATTATTTTGTGGTGAAGGGGGTGGATGTGTGTTTGCATTGCCTGTTGTAGACTGCGCAGGAGGAGACAATAAATTTTGTCAGCATAAGATGCATAAATATGCCACCATATATGTCCCTTAGTGAATCATGTTGTTCAACTGTCATGTTATATACCCTGAATTGGTCCTTTTATCGTAGAATGACTGTCCTACATGTATTAAGTTGTGTATTACTCTGCTTTCACAGCCACTACTTTATGTGCATTTTATATTGCGTTTGTTCTTTACGATATTAAATTAAAACAGGTAAACTAGAAATAGAACCACTGTTATTGAAACGAGTTGTAAATCAACAAAGTACACGCATATACATGTACCTCATTATTTTGGGGGTTTTGTATAGTCATGATGGCTCATATCAAATGTGATTAGAAATACAATACTCTTGAGTGTACAGTTACATGTAGTATAGAAAAAAAATATGAACTAAAAATGAAATTTTATTGAGAAAGAAACACACAAGTTCATGATAATCGATTTGTACTTTCATTTTTGTTGTTTGCTTGTTTGTTTATTGTCTGGTTTCTAAATGATTAAAATGTTGAAGTATATTTGCATAAAGGTCTTTCATTTGAGGTGTTAAGATTATATAAGATAATTTTTTTTCCTTTTCCTCTTACAACTATACCATTTAACCAAAATAAAAAAATGCTACACTGTTTAAAATCTTACAGGGACTCCATTTTTGGTGGAACAGCAGCGTAGGAATAAGCACTTTTCAAATTTGCTACAGAATAATGAATTTAATACACATTTTTAAACAATTAAGGTCTTAAAGGATTTTCTGAAGAGAATGAAATTTTTAATTAGGGACTTCAGTTTTAGAATATATTATATAAATACGACTTTCCAAACAGACTACAATCTTATCAGCTTTGTAAGCTTTCAATCTGTAAACAATTTTGAGTGAAAAAAATCAATATACGTACATTCCAAACGTCATCAGTGATAATGTCATCACTTCCTGATTGTAATGTGTGGCATTCATGTTTGTAATATGTGGCATTATCTTTTTTTATATGCAAAAACAAATAAGAATTTTAAAAAGAAGTGGACATAGCATGATAGGCAACAACAATGAAAAAAAAAGATCTTATATATTCCTAACACCTCAAAAGAAGGACCTTTATGCAAATATACTTCAATATTTTAATCCTTTAGAAACCAGACAATAAACAAACAAGCAAACAACAAAAATGAAATTACAAATCGGTTATCATGTACTTGTGTGTTTCTTTCTCAATAAAATTTCATTTATCCTCAATGTCGAGGAAGAACATGATGACCTTGATCTGACCTTGCTTCTAAAATACGACGGTCATAAAAAAGGTTCAGTCTTGCATTCCACCATATTTAAAGTTGAAGTCTACACCATGCATTTCCTACATATATTCCCAAACTGTTACTTCCAAACTTTTCATTTATAAACAAACCTTACAGTACCTAGATATTGAACATCTAAAACAGAATCCTCTTGTGTTTCTTACTTTTCCTCTTCTTTCAACTATGGTCCCGCTTGACACGTCATAAGTTAAAAATGACGACCTAAAGGCAATCACTTTAAAGTCCTCGATAGAACTTTATTTCTATAATTTCTATTATGAATTCTGTCGAAGATTATGCCAAATGTTGGGAGAGATATGAAAGGAAGACATGAAAACTTTGTTTTAGAATATATATTTAAAAATCGTGTTAGAAAGTTATTGGGCAAAATGCCAACCATCTTTCCTTCCCTTTTCACAAAATCGGAGGTGATAAAAGAATTAGAAAGACTATATGAACAATATGTTATGGTTCCAGCAGACGAGGCTTGCAACAATATCGTCTTTGTTGTAAGGCTCTTTATCTTAACTGTATTTTAGACAAACTTGGCTTTAATTCTACATCTGGAAATCCAACTTATACTCACATTTAACTTTCCGAGGATGAGATTCTTCAAAATCATATTTCAGTCTTTAATACTCTTAACATTCCAGTTAAAGAAGGTGAGTTCGAACTACCATACTTATACTGGATTCTTAACTTTAAAAAAAAATCTTACAAAAAAAGATACATTGTCGGGATCAGCAAATGTTCTCCCCTATCTTTACTCCCCACAAAAATATTAACTGCTATAAAGGAGTAACTTCAGACGTACTGTGCTGCATCATATTCTAGATGTGGTGAAAATCAAATGTGGATTCTCAAAAACTCCAAAGAAATTTAGAAAATTTAAAATCACAAATGTTTTTAATAGTCAGTAATGTCAAAACATACGATTTTTCTACACTTTGTAGAACCAATGAATTAAAAACTAGGCTTTTTTGATACCATAGACAACTGCTTCTTCAAAAAAAAAAAAAAATGAAACTCGGAAATTTTCATATCTTGTAATTGACCATCAACAAAAGTACTTTGTTAAAAATTACTCTGATTCCATGTAAAAGTGCTCTGAATTTGATATTAAGGAATGCTGGAGTTCCTCATTGACAATATCTATGTAGTCTTTAAGGACTAGGTCTTCCAACAAACAGTTGGAATTACGATGGGCGCTAATTGTGCTCCTTTATTAGCCGACCTATTTTTATATTCCTTTAAAGCAGAATTTATTCAAAAACTTCAACATGATCATAAGAAAAAGAAAACATTTGCTGTAGCTTTTAACTCTACATTCATATATATCAACGATGTTTTGTCAATTAACAATAGTTACTCCATTCAAATATGTCAACTGCGGTATATCCCAGTTAACTCAAAATTAAAGACGCCTCAGAGTCTGTCACATCCGTTTCATATTTGGATGTTTAACTGACTATGGGCGATATAAAGGCCAGCTAACAAGTACATTGTATTATAAACGAGATGACCAGCTTTTCAATCGACAATTTTCCTTATTTATGCAGTAATATCGTCTGAATATGGTGTTTATGTCTGCCAGCTTATTACTCGAGAGCATGCTCGGAGTAAGTTAAATTTTTAAACCGAGGCTGCTAAATAAGGCAACAGACAGATAAGTTGATGTTAAAGGGATTTCAACAACCTCGTTAAAAGTCAGCATTTCGTTATGTGGTCGTTGTAATGACCTATGTAGCAAACATATCATTGGGTCTTATTTTGACCCGACATATTTCATACCAATTATTAGACCTTTGTTTTTACATGTATATTAAATTTGACTATGGAATATTCCTTCTTCCTGACCAATACATGGGGCTTACGGTGGGTGTTACCGGTCGACAGGGGATGCATACTCCTCCTATGACACCTAACACCACCTCTGGAATTTCCGTGAGTTTTACCGTGTTTTATGCCCTGTCCACAGATTCGTTTTGTTTCTAGATTATTATTTTTTTTTAGATCGACCACTGTTCGTTATCTTCATGTTTTTCACCTTTCTCAGTGAATGCAGCTTTTCAGTGTAAGCACAAATGAAATCTTTGGTACATACATACAACAAGATGCTAAGTAAGAAGTAAGATATCCTACTCTGGTCGAAAGGGGGGAATTGTCCTATATCAAATTACTGAAAATCAAAACTAGTGGAGTGAAAAAACGACAAGTAAATTTGTAATATATACATGTATTTTTAAAGTGATCTCCCTGTTTATTTTGTTTACCTCATTAAATTTAAGTGTAATAGAAAAAGACAGGAAGAGTCATAAGCATGGTAAGAAAAAAATGTTTTCTTTATATTTCATGTAGACGGCTAGAAAATTAAATAAATAAATACTAAAAAAAATACATGTAAATACGAAAAATAAATAATTATAAGCTTTTCAAAATCATTCCTTCTGCATTTCTGAAGAAAAAGGGCAAAAACAACAATAAGAGTCGATTCTTCCTCTCACATTTTATATATAAAAACATACTAAGTCTTACGAATTCATATAACAGTTTATTATGAACCATTTATAAATACAAGCTCGAATGCATAGCATCAACTTTAGTTTAAAAGACTAATATAAAGATAACTAAAGATATTGATAAAAGTTTCACTCA